TATGTATTATAATCAGGAAAGAACTATAATTTTTAAAAAAATTCATACTTCGATCTTCTAATTTCTAGTATTCTATTCTAAGGGGATAATTAGAAATGTGATAATGATCTTGTACATAAGATATCCATTAGAGATTTATTTGTACAATATTGTAGGAATGTTAAAAATATTAAATATGTGGGCTAAGCCAGCAATCCCACTTCTGGGTATTTACTTCAAAGATTTGAAACCAATATGTTGAAGAGAAGTCTGCATGCCCATGTTCACTGCAGTACTGTTCACAACAGCCAAGTTATGGAATCAACCTAACTGTCCATCAGTGGATGAATGGATAAAGAAAATGTTGTATGGAATACTATTCAGCCTTTAAAAAGGAAGAAATTCTGTCATTTATGACAACATGGATGGAAATGGAGAAAATTATACTAAGTGAAATAAACTAAACACAGAAAGACAAATACTGTATGTTCTCACTTATATGTGGCATCTAAAACAACTGAACTTCTAGAAGCAGAGAATAGAATGGTAGTTACCAGAGGCTAGGGGTTGGAGAGAATGGGGAGATGATAATCAAAGGGTACAAAGCTTCAGTTAGATAGGAGGAATAAGTTAGATTTTTTGGGGGGGGATCTGTTGCACAGCAGAGTGAATATAGCTAATAATTGGGTACTCTGCATTTCAGTATCTCTAAGAGAGTAAATCTCAAAAGTTCTCATCACAAAAAAAGTCAAATATTTGAGGTGATGGATAGATAAAATAGCTTGATTTAATCATTCCACATTGTTTTCAAAAATCATATCATTTTGTATCCCATAAACATATGCAACTATAATTTGTCAACATATAATAAAAATAATAAAACATAAAAATATATGAGCTTTTTTATAGGCATTAATAATGTTTTTAAAGAAATTTTTAAATCATAAGAAAATGTTTTTCATGGCTAAGTGAATAAAGCAGAATCTAAAATTGCATATACAATATGATCTCAGTTACTCAACTCAGTCTATTTTTTTATCGTAAGTTGACAAATTATAGATGTATGTAAGTCTCTATATCAACACAGCTAATGCATTCTTATGTCACATTACTAAAGTATGCTCTCTAGAACAGTTCTCAAACTGTAGTAAAGGATGTGCTTTTTAAAATTTCCAATCTGTTATGGACTGATATTTGTGGAAAGATAATAAAAACTAGTTACTAGAAAGATGAAAAAGACACAGAATAAAAGCCTCGATTTTTTTTTTTATTATATTCAGGTGTATAATTACTGGCAGTTCGCTGGAAATTTCCAAGTGCTTGCTCTCAATTTTTGCATTTATCTGGTTGCAGGCCAGTAGCAGCTGTGGAGCCCACTTTAAGAAGCACTGCTCTAGAACAGGGGATATGCCACTCCATGTCGTTTACACCTCAGTTCTAGAGCCAACGTGTGTACTGGCTTTCTTTTTCATAAGAGTCATGTAAGCTCATTGTAATAATGGCACAGAAATCGACTTCCCCGCATTCCTATTCCCCAAAGGTGACCACTGCCCAGTTTCTTGGGTATTATTCCAAAAAACATACAGTATACCATTGACAGCATTTCACATCAGCATGCACAATTCTAGCTTATTTTGGGGGGTGCATAACGTTCCATTGTATGGCTGCCCTACTAAGTTCATTGCTATTACAAACAATACTGCAACAAATTCTTCAGAACTGTTTGTCTCCTTACCCAGGTATATCCACAGGAAAAATTCCTCACTCGGTATGTGCACGTACACTTTTAAAAATAAAAGCTTTATTGAAATATAGATCACATAGTATAAAATTCACTCCTTTAAAGTATACAATTGAGTGGTTTTTACTATATTCATAGAGTTGTGCAGCCATCACCACTGTCTAATTACAAAACATTTTTATCATCATACCCACGAGCAATCTCCATTCTCCCCTTTTCCCAGTTCCTTGCAATCACTAATCTACTTTCTATTCCTGTGGGTATGCCTCTTCTGGGCATTTCTTATAAATGAAATCATACAATATGTGGCCTTTTGTGTCTGGCTTCTTTCACTCAGCATGTTTTCAAGGTTCATCCATGTTGTAGCATATGTCAGTGCTTCTTTATAAAAAAAAAAAAATTTTTTTTTTTTTTTTAACCGGTAAGGGGATCATAACCCTTGGCATGGTGTCGTCTGCACCACACTCAGCCAGTGAGCACACCGGCCATCCCTATATAGGATCCGAACCCGCGGCCTTGGCGCTAACAGCGCTGCACTCTCCCGAGTGAGCCACGGGGCCGGCGCTATCAAAATTCTTTATCAAAGTGGCTCCACCATTTTACCACCCCCTTAGCAATATATGAGTTGTAATTTCTCCTCATCCTTACCAACACTAGTTATTATGTTTTATTTTGTAAAAAAATTTGGCAATTCCTCAAAATTTCAAACATAGTTATGATGTGATCCAGCAATTCCACTCCTAGATATATACCTAAGAAAACTGAAAACATATGTGCACATAAAAATCTGCACACAAATATCTATAGCAGCATTATCTATCATAGTGAGGGTGAAAAGGCATCCCATAGTGATTCTGATTTGCAGTTCTATAATGACTACTGATGTTGATCATTCTTTCCTATACTTATTGACCATCTGTATATCTTCTTTAGAAAAGTGTCTATTCAAATCCTTTCCCCATTTCTTAATTGGGTTGTCTTTTTATTGTTAAGTTGTAAGAGTTCTTTATATATTCTGGACATAAGTCCCTTATCAGATATATGATTTACAAATACTTTCTCCCATTCTGGGATTTGTCTTTTCATCTTCTTGAAGTTGTCCTTTGTAGTACCGATTTTTAATTTTGATGGAGTCATCTATTTTTTCTTTTGTCACTTGTGCTTTTGGTGTCGTAGGAAGCCATTGCTTAATCCAAAGTCAGAGAATTTTATGTCTGTGTCTTCTTCTAAGAGTTTTATAGTTTTAGCTTTTACATTTAGATCTATGATCCATTTTGAGTTAATTTTTGTATATGGTGTAAGGTAGGGGTCCAACTTCAAACTTTTGTATGTGGATTCCTAGTTGTCCTGGCAGTATTTGTTGAAAAAATGACTCTTTCCCCATTGAACTGTCCTGGCAACCTGCTCTTACATTTTTGATGTTGCCAAAGTGTCCTCCAAAGAGGCTGTACTGGTGTATATTCCTACCTATGGGAGCTAAGTGCCTATATCTCAGATTGGGCATTGAAGGTGATGAACTCAAGCCTATTAGGGACCATCACCAGGATGGATGAGTGTGGGGTAGGCTTGAAAGTGACACGAGAGGGCCGGCCCGTGGCTCACTCGGGAGAGTGCGGTGCTGATAACACCAAGGCCCCGGGTTCGGATCCCACATAGGGATGGCCGGTTCGCTCACTGGGTGAGCGTGGTGCTGACAACACCAAGTCAAGGGTTAAGATCCCCTTACCAGTCATCTTTTAAAAAAAAAAAAAAAAAAAAAAAAAGAAAGTGACACGAGAGGGTGAGTTGAAGGAAGTGAAAGATGTATCTCTCAGAGAAGAGAAAAATGCAGGGAATATGAACTGAGTGGATGGGCCTGAGTTTAAAGCCTTATTCTGGGCTGGCCCGTGGCTCACTTGGGAGAGTGCGGTGCTGATAACACCAAGGCCACAGGTTCGGTTCCCATATAGGGACGGCTGGTTTGCTCACTGGGAGAGCGTGGTGCTGACAACACCAAGTCAAGGGTTAAGATCCCCCTTACCGGTCATCTTTAAAAAAAAAAAAAAAAAGCCTTATTCTGCCCCTTATCAGCTGAGTAACAACCATCTGAATTTCTGTTTTATCATTTGTTAAACAAAGATGGTAACTGCTTACCTGTGTAGGGTTGTTGTGAGGAGTAAATGTATGTAAATATCTCAGCCAATGACAAGCCTTCAATAACAGTAACTATTGTGACATTTCTGTATCAGTATATGTGGTTGAGATCATGTGATTGTGGGGGAGCATCACAGTAGGATAGTGTTGGGCCGGCCCGTGGCTCACTCGGGAGAGTGCGGTGCTGATAACACCAAGGCCACGGGTTCGGATCCCATATACGGATGGCCGGTTCGCTCACTGGCTGAGCGTGGTGCTGACAACACCAAGTCAAGGGTTAAGATCCCCTTACCGGTCATCTTTAAAAAAAAAAAAAAAAAAGAAGAAGACAGTAGGATAGTGTTGGAGCCATTTGGTGAGTGTGAGATTTTTAATGATGACTGATCACGTGTAGGAATTTGGATCTACTGGTAAGTGTCACTGTCACTCAGAGCAAGGCAGTACTTGAAGTCTTTGCTGTGACATATTAATGGGGGGAGAGGCTGTGACTGAGATTGGCTGTGACAAGACAGATCCTGAGTGACAGAATGGAGGAAGGCAGCTGTGCCGGGCAAACATGGGTGCCCAGTAGGGGATGCTGGGGAGTTCAGATGTCCAGGCAGGTGCCTCTCTATACTTTCCCCTCCCCCACAGACTTCCCTCCCTGTTTCCTAAAGCAAGCAGGAAAGGAGGGGTGCTTTCCCTGTGGAAAGGGGATCTTGAGCAGAGTGTAGAATCTATAGTACATAAGGAACTGCAATACCTTTGGTATTGTCACCCAAGGCTCAGGAAAAGAACTGGCTGGAAATGTGTGCAAAATGGGTGGGGTAGAAGAACTTGGACTGGTTTCTCCTCTCAGCTTTAGTCTTCAGAATGACCAATAAAAACAGAATTGAAACCTAAGCAGTCCTTCCTCCTCTCTGTCCCCTGGGGGAGGGAAGAGAGGAATAAACGCCACATCTCATTAAGCTTTTACGAGCTCAGGCAGGCAGAGTGGACCCACACCGGAGGCAAGCAGAGGGCTAGGGGAGGCTGCAGGAAGGATTCTCCATCTCTCTCAGGGAAGATGTGTCCTAGAACTTGGGGGCCTGCTCTGCAGGAAATGAAATAAGTGGTTAACAACAGATGTGGAGCTAACAACTGCTTTTATTAAAATCAGAAGGGCGAAAGGACAGGAAGTTGGGTAGATGTGGGAACAAGAGAGAGACAGTGGCAGAGGCAGGACTGCAGATCTATAGCAATTGCCTGAAAGAGACAGCTCTAAGGCATGAGAGTCCCAAAGGTGAAAGAGAAAAGGGAAAGACCGCTCTTTGTATCTTATGAAGCTGAAATAATGAGATCTTAAACATGAGTGAGAACCCTATTGCCCTGACCCATGCTGACTTTATAACACCATGCTCTAACTGGCTAAGCTAACCAGCCAGCCCTTCAAGCTGACTTGAAACACAAGGTACAAAAGATTGGCATGAATATTAATCTGAATAGGGGAAATGAAAACTCTTTCTCTGAGGTAAAAAAGATGAAAGAATTAAAACCATGATTAAGGCTGTATAGTGATCTGGAGTATAAGGGTGGGAGAGAGAATAAATACCTTAGTGACCAATATATAAAACAGACCATTACTAGGGAAGGAGATGGGAGGTTAATGGAAGGTCATCTTGCCTATGCTGCCATGGAAGACAACTGTGCCACAATGTGACATGGGTATTAAACACTGAACCCCCCACCCCTTGCCTGGGTGTGTAAGTGAGAGGTTGGAGGGTGTGGTGACGTCACAGTAGCAGAATGGCCTGGGCTTGGCAGGGCAGGAAACTCACTGCTGATGAAGTGGGAGGTAGGGATAGGGAGCCTGGCCCTGGCTTTGGAGGTGTACAGAGTGAAGATAGAGGAGAAAGCAGGCTGCTGGGGCAGTACTTGTAATATTGGGGTGACAACGGGAAGGCAGTAACAGACACAGAGCAATAGCCTTCCCAGGCCAAGGTGCAGGCCCTAGGTTTGTGCCCCACCATCTGGCTGGAAAACCATGGGGTTTATCATATGTGGTAAAAGCCACACAACCAGATTTCAGGGCAAGGCCCACTTTAGCCAATTAGAAGAGATACTGCCTGTGGCCAGGTAGGCAAACTCCTCCAGCTGGGGAAGGGATGAGAATCCTTGAGCTTTGCCCAGCCCTGAGCTCTGGGTATCTGCAGGGAAGCGGAGTAGTTAGTGTTAAAGAGTATCCAGCAAGGTAAGAGCGACTTGGGCAGCATCCACTGCCTCTGTCACTTCCACAAGAACTTCTTGTTGAGGAGGAAGATGAGAAGGTTGACGTTGACCTTGGCCTTATTGAAGAGCTTCATGACAGCCACACCCTCATACTGGAGCTGCAGGAGGTCCTGGGAAGGAAGGGGCAAGGAGGGAGTTTAAGGGCTCTTGGCTGTGACCCAATCTACAAAACACTAGCATTGTGGAGACTTACACAGTCTCTGCCAGCATTGGCCACTGAAGTAGGGCACTGAAATCCCATGTCACAAATGAGGAAACCCACGCCAACAGAGAGTGACTTGACCAAATGTCAACTCAGTCAGGGTTTGAAATCAGTTTTCTCACTCAAAAGGCAAAACAGCAGAGCAAAAGATCTGGATCTGAAATCACTGCTTCCTTAAACACTAGCCTATGACTTAGGCTGGCTTCTTAACCTTTTAGCTTCAGAGCTTATAAAATAGGGATAATTCTTCAGAGCTGTGGAGAAGATTAAATGAGGTAACATGTAAAGTCCCCAATGTTTGATAGGGCTTCAAATATTAACCCTGTTCTGACACCACCAGCCCACTCCACTCTTCCAGATACTTGGCAGTGGGGTCTGTGTCAAGGCATGGGGAAAGGGGGGCTTGGGACATACAGACCCCACCCTTCTCTTCAGGAACAAAGCTGATGTTAGCTGGGGCCTAGGGAAGTGAGGCCGGCCACTCTCTTTAGGTCAGCACCTACAGCCCAGCAGGTGTCTTGAGGGCTCACGGGAGTGTCCCCTCACCTGATAATGAAGCTGAAATCGCTCCATGTCCACACCCAGGAACTTGGCATTTACTTCATACTTTCCTGCCTCATCTCCAGGGGTGATGTCAAAGATGACGTTTCTGAAGCTGTCAGAAACAGGACTCAAAACAGGGACCCATTGCCTCTTTCCAGGGCCACAGCCCCACTCTTGCATCCACTGCTTCTCATCTCGGGCAGTTTTGGGCATGTCATCCAGAGCCCACACTTCCCCTCTGCCACTCCTGGGGAGCCCAGCTCTCTGCTTTCTCCCAGTTTTACTCCTGGTCACCACATCATCTTTTTTTTTTATCTGCCCAGCCCTACTCAGCTGCTCTTGCCTCCAGGAATCTTTTCCAGCATCCTCTGCTTTGAGGTATCTAGAATTGTGCTAGACCATGTCCACTGTCCTTAACTTTCTGTCTGGGGATGCCCTGTCTCCACCATCATTTTAGCAGCTCCTTCAAGGCCCAGCGCAGTGCTCCACCCACAGGTTAGGGGACAGGAATGGTCTGACATCTGCCCTCTGGTAACACATACTGAGAGGTGGGAAGATCTTCAATTTCCACCAGGACACCCTTCTCCAGGAGCTGGGCAGCAGTGTAATGAAGAGATGGCTGCTTCTTCCCCTTTGCAGAACTCCTGAGTAAAAGAAGGCTGCAGAAACTTAATCCGACCAACTCTTCACCACCAAAGACATTTGTGCTCTGTGGCTGGCAGGAAGGAAATTAGATACTGAGGAAGAGTACTCACTGGTGGTAGTCAGAGGAGGGGGCTGAACTTGAGCCCAAGGCTTTGTGAGAGAGACTTAAAGACCAGAGTCAGGAAGGGATTGTGCCATGCTGGGGTGAGATTCCCCTTTTGAAACTGGGAGACAGTGGGGCAAGGGTCAGCATGGGCAAGGGTGAGAGGTCACAGGGAACCTTCTGAGTATGGGAAGGCAGCACCTACTTGGAGCTGGGGGCCAGGTGGTCCAGGCAGGCCCGGATGTACTGCCCGTAGTAGTCTCCCTGCTCCTCATAGAAGGTGGTTTTAGCACTCAGGCCTTGGAATGTGGCCTGAAGCTTGACCAGCTCCACCTTCCGCCGCTGTCGGTGCCTGCGCTGGTTGCGGATGTCCTGGGGTTAGGGGGACCAAGGGAGGGGATGAGTTGGCCCTTCCTGGCAGAAGCCTCAGGGTCTGACACAGGCCCAAGAACAACTCACTGTGAAGATCTTCAAGAAAAGCAGGAAGGAAGAGGAGGACGATTTCAAGCCTACTTTTCCTAGGAGGAACATCCCATCCCAAACCCTCAAAGCATGTCTTTGGGGCCTCTCCCTCACTGTGGAATAATTAGTGTCAAGCCTCCTCCTTTTTAAGTAAAAGAGAATTGTAAGAACATCCCCCTCTGTGGCTAATTTTAAGACCTTTCCCTCAAAAAGGAACCTAGGCCTTCCTCTGGCTGGTGACAGTTTTAGGTGGACACTCACCAGGGAGAGGCCTGCTTTTGGAGTGCAACACCATGGATCTGCTCGTGCAATGCATGCGCATCCGTGTGCATACACACACACACACACACACACACACACGCACAGGCACACAGGCAAACAGAACCCAGGCCCAGGCTGTTACCTTAGCCAGCTCGTCCACTAGCCCCTGGTAGCTGTTGCTGGCACTGACCAACCCCAGGCCCTCAAGTTGGCGCAGATTCCTCAGGACACGCCGTTGCTTCTCTGCCAGTGGCAGGAGGGAGTGAGCTGTCAGTGAGTGGTGTCGTCGCAGTGGCTCTGGGTTCTGGGCCTCATAGGCCTGGCGTCGGCACATCAGCCGCTTGTGGGCCACTTCCTGAGGGGCAGAGATGCTAAAGGGGTCTGCCGGGCCCCACCATTCTGCCCCCAAACAGGTCCCAGGAGCACCAGCAACCAAGGGAGACCTGGGCACTTTTCTAGGTGTCACCAGGAAAGTGCCTCCAGAGCCCAGATTCTGGGGGGAAACGGGGTGTGTGTAGCTAGCTTGTGGAGAACATCAAGGTGTAACATCATAACACATGGTGTAACACATAGAAGGGCCTAGACATCACCACAGGGGAGGAGTGGCCCAAAGGAGACCCAAACAGAAACTACAGCATAAAGGATTCTGGATAGACACTGGCTACGATGTCCCAACAGTGTAGATTTGTGATGGCACCAGGGTGTTTGGGGCATTTTCCTTCCTGTTTTATGTTTCAGGACATGCCTCTACTGGCCATCACCACCTTTTCTCTAAGAAGCCCCTGGCTAAGTCTTCAATCCAGGGGCCCAACTTGCCCCTGGCCCCCCACCCTCTTACCAGCTTCTCCTGCCTCCAGGCCTTCAAGCAGAGCGCTCCCTCTTCTGAGCACAGCACTTCTGTGCTCTTCAGGGTGGACTTCCCAGACTGCCTCTTGGCATCCCCCCACACCCCAGCACTGGCATAGTGGGCTCTTGTTGGGGAACGAGGAGGGAGATGGAGTCCTGTGATTCTGCAGCCTGAGGATCCCCAAGGCTAGGGCTGTTCCCCTTGGCCTGTGGGCTTCCAGGTCAAGGGCCTCTGCCCTTGGCCATCCAGAGGTCTCATTACTGATGAGCACAGGTATCTCTGCTTATGGCAGACTGTGGGTGGGGTTTGGGAAGAGAATCAGCAGTGCTGGTGGGGTGAAGTGGGGGATGAATGAGGCAGAACCTGTGGGCTGGCCGGGCTACTCACCTGCTCTCTGGAAGCTGAGAGGGACAGGATCTCCTTTAGGGAGTCTCCAGGATGGAACTGAATGATATCGGCCAGCATCTGCTTGGTGCTACAGGAGGAGGGAAGTGATGGGAAAGAGGTGAGGGGCAGGAAAACATGGGGCTGGCCACAGATCTGAGAGTAAGCAGACCCTGCTCCACATCGTGGCTTCCAGGGATGCTTGGGAGGTAAGGGGAGAGAGCAAGGGGTGGAGGAGAGATGTTGATGCCTGGAATAACCTCCCCACAAGTTATCTTCCTTTGAGTCCTTCAGCTAAAGGATGCACTTTCTCCTCCCAACCCAGGTGTCCCTTCTCCTGAGCTCTCAATGCACCTGACACCCACCTCCCTCCTGGTGGCTCTCTGTGTGTTCACCCCTGGCCCTTACCCACTACAAGCCTTCTGATGGCAGGACAAAGCATAATACCCCTCTCGCTTGTTTACTGAATGAATGAATGAGTGGAGGGGTTGCCTTGTTGGCAGGTGACTGAGCTGGTGACTTGGCTCCTCTCTTGCCCAGATGACCAGCCCAGCCCTGCTGGGGGTCCCCCTGCCTTTTGTGGAGCTGGGGAAGAAGAGCTCCATGCCCATCTCATGATCATCATACTCAAAAGAACAGGGAATTACAACATGTGCTCCACCACCCGCTGGCTGTGGGACTTTGGACAAGTCACATAACTACTACGTTTCTTTCCTCAACTATGAAAAGGGGAAACCACCATCTACCTCATAGCTTGTTCCTAAGATTAAATGATGACATATAAAAAAGCATTTGGTAAACAGCACAACAATATGCAAACACCCATTGTTGCCAATATCTTAAGCATTCCTTTGCCTTTTGCTATAACAGAGCCAAAAGCTGAGATTGTCAAAAGGAAAACAGCTGAGATTGCAGGAAGATGAATGTGAGTTAGGCTTCAGGCAGAACTTCCTGAAGGGGAAGGGAGCCCGGGAGAAGGTGGAATGGCCCCCTAAAAGCAGTGCCATTTTACTGGCCACAGGGCTGGGGAGCTCAGATATGTGGGGGCAGAGGCTGGCCTCACCCACCTCAGAAGCAGGCTCCGGGCACTGGCATCATCAGCGTCTGCTTCTAGCCCTTCAAACTTGTTGGTGAGTGTCAGGGACACTTCTAGTTTGCTCAGATCCATGTGCCCATCTGCAGCTATGTTCTCTCCTGAGGTAGGGTGAGGAATGAGACAGAGACAGGCACAGGCGCACACACACACACACACACACACACACACACACACACACACACACACACACACACACCCATGCACAGATGGGGTCATGGTACATGTGCTGCTCCCCATGCCCTCCTTCCAGGAAGCTTTCCCACATTGCCCGATGGCACACACTGTGCCCTCAACCCTGAGCACTGATGGAAGAAATACTACCCACAGAGCATAACCTTATGTCACTGAGGATGTGCTGCCTCCACACCCTCGGCCCTCGGTGTCTCGCTGGGCCTGCAGTTCCTGGCTGTCTCTGATCACCACCTTCATTCTGCCCTTCCATCCCTTGAAGCTGGCTTCTTCTCATCCCTCTTCATCAGAGAAACTTACTGAGATCCCAAACAGGCCCTTAGCCCTCCATGTCTCTCTCACATGATTTAATTGTCCATTTATATGGTGGTACTGGGTCCCTCTACTGTCTGTCCACTCTCTCCATATCAGTGTCCCTGTGTCCATCTTAGGACCAAAGGGAGCGAGGGAGGGAGAATGTGTAACCAGCTGCCTGGCACACCACCAGACTCTTCTGAGGTGGGGTGAGTGGGCATGCTCACGTGCCCTGGCCACCTTCCTGTCTGTTCCTCCCTGCAGGCCCCCTGGCTGGCTGCAGCTGACAAGGGGGGCACACACCAATGAGGTCAGGGATGGTAGGCAGCTCCCCTAGTTCCTCCAGGAGCTCGTGCAGGGGGTCATGGTGATTGGGGGCGATCCAGTCCTGGTGCTCCAACAACAGCTGTAGGACAGAGGAAGAAAAGTAGATGCGGGGTCTGAGCCAGGCCCTCCTCCTGGGGCCAGCCCACCACCCCATTGTGGGCTTCAAAACCTCTGTCCACCTAGCCAGCCTTGCAGGTTGTGGTCCCTCACCTTGTGTGTGTTGACCAGCTCCCCCACAGTGATATACACCATGGGTTTGGCTACGGCCACCATGTCTGAGTACTCATCCATTGCAAAACGCTCCTCTGGCTCTGGCACCTGGCACACTCTGCAGATGAACTTCCTATCTCCAGAGGGAGGGCATATGAGAGGGTGAGGGTGGCACCCCACACATGCTCTGTCCCCCTACACCATCCCTTCCCCTGGTCATCTCCAGCAACTGCTCAAGCCAATTCTGACTCTTCAGTGCCCTCTGCCCTACCCTACCTCTGTTCCAATGTCTTCTTCAAGCCAACATCCTTTAATAGTCCTTTTTTCTCTCCACTGGGGAGTCCTTCCAACAACCCAGCCTCCAGCCCCTCGATATACCCTTCACCTCTATGCCTCTCTCCCTCATGAATTCTGGAGGGGAGAAGTTGGATGTGAAAGATGCAAAGAGGAAAGAAAAGGGACAGGGAGGATCAGGATGCCAGGACCCAAGACCTGAACTTGAGGTGTGTCTCCTCCAGATAGTCATTCAGGACCTGTAGGTGCTGGTTCTCCCCAGAGAATGCCTTGCCAGCTGCTGCGTGCTGCAGGAGCTGAGCCACAGCCCCAAGGGCGTGACGCTGTGGGGTGGCCAGGGCACCGCCCGCTGTCATGGCCACAATGTCGAAGGCGTCAGGTGCCACCACAGCTGGGTTCAGGAAGCGGTAGTACAGGAGGTTCCCTACAACCTGAGGGCAGAGGAGACACTTCTAGAAGCACCCCGAGGTTGCCTTGACATCTGGCCCCACATTCCTAGCTCACTTGGCTGGAAGGGACCATCTGGCCAACCCTCTCACTTTACAGAAGAGAAAACAGACACAGAGCAGGCAGACAACTTGCTCAAGGTCACACAGAAAATTTGAGCAAAAGTTGGACTAGAACCCAGATCTCGTGACCAAGCCCAGGGTTGTCCACTCTGTTATCTCATGCCTCAGCTGCCTTTCCATCTGCCACCTGAAGCCCTGCTGGTGAACCAGGCTCAGTTTACAGGGTGGAGTATATTTTCCTCCTTGGATTTTTACAGCGTAGGGTTTTCTGTCCTTTTGTCTCAGTCTGGGGCATCACAGGCACCAGCAGGGCAAAGGAGGACTTGCGAGGTGGGGGAGGGGAGACAACACTTGCCTTATAGACCTCGCTCTCCATGGCATTGGGGAACTTCTCTGCCAGAGCTGTCTTCAGGACTTTGGCCACATATCGCATCCCATATCTGGGGACAAAGCAATAGGCACTTTGGCTCTGCCTGTCTCCCTCCATCAGAGCTCAGTGCGTGAGTGCCAAGCTGCCTCTCCTTCTCTAGCTCAGCCACACCAGAGTTGAACTCAAGCACCATCCCTCCACTATCTCCAGCCAGCTCCCTGCTGCCTTCCTCCAAACTTCTCTGAGCCTCACCGCTTTCTTCTGTCTTCTTGTCAGTACCCAGGACCAGGGCTCTATCATCTACTAACGCTCTCACACAGCCTCCAACCTGGCCTGAGAGCCTCCTCTTTGAGACCCTCTAGTCTCCCCTGCAGAACACCCCAGATCACAATGTCCCTACTTTCTTCCACTGAGGCATCTTTAGGCTATAACTTGGGTATCTGACACTGAGCCAAAACCCTGTTCTGGGACAGCCCAGTAAGCTCTAAGGCAGCCAACCCTGTCAGCTATTACAGAGCATCTGTGAGGGGCCTGGTCTGGCCTAGAGGCAGGGCCTGAGGAGATCAATGAACTGGGAGTAGAAGCTCCAGTCCTGACTCCACCACCAACCAGAAATATCATTCTAGGCTATTTCCTTCCCCTTTGTAAGTCTGTCCCCTGGTCTAGAAAATGGGAATGATCATTCTGGTCCTCTTTATCTCACAGGGTTTTTGTGAGGATTAAGTGAAATTATGTCTGTGAATGTAATATATAACGGTAGAGTACTATTCAAATGCTATACTTCATTATTAATATTATTCCTATTACGGATATGCCACCTACAAATTTAATTAAATTTGTTTAAAAGCTATTTCCACCTCCTAGGGTACCAGAGACAGAAGTTTTCAACTCATTGTGTACTTTCCTTTCTTAGGCCTAGAACAATCTACAATATAGAAAGTATAGTGAGTAAGCTGAAGGATGGGTTTTTGGTAGGACTCCCTAGTAGAGAGAAAAGAGGACTATATTTTGTGTTTTGTGTTTTGTTTTGTTTTGGATGGCTGGCTGGTATGTAAAAAAAGATTATTTAAGAACTTCTAATTATACACCCTTAATCCAGTTCTCCAAGTTTGGGGAGCAGAGTTATAAACCCTGCAGGTTCCCTTCTCTGGCATCCCCTCCTTGCCCTGGGCCATGCTAAGCATCAGGAAGGCCGGCTGGCTCAATGCTGGGTCTAGATGACTTCTACCTTGTCAATGTTTTCACTCACTTGCTTTTCAAAAAACATTAACTAAATGTTAAGAAAGGAGAGAACTGGGCCGGCCTGTGGCTCACTTGGGAGAGAGTGGTGCTGACAACACCAAGTTAATGGTTAAGATCCCAGTCATCTTTTTATGAAGTGCTTTACTGGTTTGAAGTATTTCTTATGTGACTTTGCAGACTAAAGAGTCCCGTTTTATCCCTATTTGCTCTTAGATAATAATATGTGCCCGTAATCATTTTAGGTTCCCTCCTCTGGCTCCAGTGATATCCTAACAGGCCACATACAGGCCTGCATGCTGTTTTCCAGCTCACTCTCCAGCAGGGGCTTCAAACATTCCCCACACATCTCCTGGAACTGCTCTGAGCACCCCCAGCTGTGTTCCCCTCCCTGCCTTCCTCCCTTCAGGACTATTGCCCTGCTTTCTTCTCCCCTCCTGGCCCTCCTGAGATCCTGTGCCCAGGCTGGGTGGGGTGGTCACACATACGGAATTTGGTCCACAGATGAGATGATGGCTACAAGGAACTTATCAGTTATGGCGAGGAGGTTGCGCAGGGAGATGTCCAGTCGTCTTTGGACCTCGGGGTGGCTCAAGGCCTGCTCTGGGGTGACATCATACGGGAGATGGCTATGGGCAGAAACAGACAAGATTTAAGTTGGAGGCCCCCTCCCAAGACCTCCTTTCCCTGAGGCCCTACCCTTCAAACTCTTCTCTAACAACAGGATCTCATATAGACCTGCTAAGGGCAGCCCAGCATGCTAGAGGGGAAAGGGCCAGAATAAGAGAAAAGACTCAGAGAGGACTGGAGAAATGCAAGTGAAAGGTTAACAAGAAAGAGTTGGAATACCCACAGGGAAGCTGGAAGAGTGTAGGAAGGAATGCAGAAACTGGAATCTATGGAAAGTTGCCTAAGGGGAACTGGAAGGAACCAGGGGGCTGCTTGCAAATAGTCTTTGGCAGTTGGGACAATAGGGAAGTCTGGGCCAGGGTTTGTAACTCCCCCACCTCAAGCCTCTCATGCCATCCAGGACAACCAACACAGTTGTCTGCTCTCCTCAGTGGCTAGATTTCCCTAGTACCTATGAACCTGAGTAATGCCCCCAGTCTATAAGGCCAACCTATATCTATCACTATCTAATTTGCCATAAACCTGAATATTCATCTATACCCCTATCAATAAAGAGTCTATATCTCAACTCCTAGCAAATTTGACATATCATTTGCAAGCACTGACACAGCAATTAAGCACATTTGCATATTCATCTGTGCTCATTTTATGTTAAGCTCACCAGGTCTGGAGTCATTTATATCAGTTCCATGTTAATTACCAGAGGGGGTCTAAAAGGCTACTCTATTTACTCCTGTCGGGCTGGTGTCATATTTGCATAAATCAGCATGCTCATTTACACACCACCTTCACAGCACACCGAAGCTTCCCCAGTGAGGCCCAAGATAAAGCTGATCAAAGAGAGTTCTCTCTCAGCCCATCTGCTCACCTGCGCTGCCCTGTCTGGGCCTCTGTCTGGTTGATCCAGCTCTTGTAGAGGTAGACTGGGTCTGTGTGGATGCTGAGCACCTTGTCCTCCAGCATATCCTGGATAACCTTGCCCAGGATCTCCCGCAGGGCACTCTGTCCCCGTCCATTACGGTAGAATCTCACCACCAGCCTCACCACTGTTGGGTTACCTGTGACCATGTCCTGGGGCTGCTCCACCTTTAACCTGTGGTTCAAGAGGTCATTAAGCTGGTCTCCTGCCTCTGTGTAGGACAAATAGTTTCCTTTCTGATATTTGGCTCTTCATTGCCTGCTCTGGTGTCCCCCCTCTCAAGGAATGTCTTGATATCTCTATTTCATCCCTTGTGCTAACATGTCAGCTCATGTCCTCCTACTGTGCTGTCTCAGGAGATATCTTACAGTCTCTCCACAGGAGGCAGAGGTCTTTTGATTCCATTTCTACCCTTAAACCTTAACAAGTTGTCACCTTGTGAAGGAGCCAGCAGGGGCATCTCTTAACCCATTCTCTTCCCATCCTTTTGTGCCTGGATAACCTACTTGATTTCCTCCTGGAGTGCTGTCTTGAACAGCTGGAGCAGGAGGTAGGCCTCTCGGCGGTTGGAGGCATAGTTGTACAGACTGAAAATCACTGACTCCATGAACTTGGTGGTTTTGTTCTGTGGCATCTGAAAGATCAGCTTGGCCAGGTAGATGGGTTGAGTCTGCAAGCAATCGGAGAGACAGGAATGGCTGATAATACACCTCAAGGACTGGTAAGGAAAGGCTTTCCTGATGGAAACTTGGAATGGAGAAAGCACTGTCACACTCTCAGGGTACTGGAAACATTCCAAACAAGGGAAGAGGTAGTTTCTTTCCCTGGGGACAAGGCATTAGGATTTGGGGAAAGGATACCTTGCATGGGGGCAAAGGCCCAGACAAGAAGGCCCCAGTGTCCCAGGCCCTCAGGGGATGGTAGAGACTTCTCCTTCCAAAGTCCTCTGCTCACCTGGAGCAGGTAGAAGAGGTGTTGGTATGACTCTAGTTTCTGCCGTTTCTCTTTGCTCAGCGACTTTAATCCCTTCTGCTTGTCCAGAACCATCATATCCGACAGCTGTTCCTTATTCTTTTTGGTCAGCTTCTTGCAGTGGGAGACCACCTCCTGCAGGGGTGGGGAAGCGGGTGATACAACCAGCTCGGGCCAGCACAGAGCACAGAACATATCGTCTAGAATCAGCGCCTAGAAGAGCCAGGGCTTTCTGCTGTTCAAAGAATAGGCATGAGCCAGGGGAGATAAACAGTTCTGGTGTGAGGAAGGGCCCCTCCTACTGCCCTGAGACTCTATCTGGCACCTCTGCTCTCACAGGGGTGAGTCTCTAAAGAGGACTGAGTTGCCAGGCTGAGGTATTGTGTCTATTTGTTTTTTGCTGTTATTTCTTATTAGACTATTGTACAAATTTCAGGTGGAGACATCACTTTAACACTACTATTCTGTCACTGCATATTCATATGGCAATTTATAGTTTAAATAGTTTTCATATCTATCTGTACAGTTGGCCTGGTGAGGGAGACACTCTGATCATTTTCCCAGGTTACTAATGAGGAAACAGACTTAGAGGTTAGATGACCACCCACAGCTTCATCACTAGGAATCAGCAGAGCCAGGCATTCCAATTCTACACCCAGTGCTCTTACTACTATATCACATGTCCCCAAGAAAAGGCTTACTAGAAGGGCAGAGGGCCACTGGAACAAGGACCTGAGCCAGGTGATAAAATCCACACATTTTAGAAAGATTTGATTAGTAACTAGAGAATGATCAGCCTCACCTCTCCAGAGGCAGCTAGACTGGGGGGCAGGTGGTAGGCTGGTGGGCCCCTCACCTGCAGGGTGATCCTGTTCTTAACCAGCAGGCCAATCTTGATGTCCATGAGGTTGAGGTCCTGCTCCAGCTGCTGATTAGACCGGATCTTCCTGACTACCTCTTCCTGGAGCTTCAGTAGCTCTGCTTCAGCCAAGAAGTCCTGCTGACTTTGATTCAAGAGGTGGGCAAATCTGCATACCACACTGAGAGGAGGGTGGGGTGTGTGTACTGGCAGAAAGAGTGGGAGGGCATCAGGATTAGGCATGCCTCACCAGAGGCCTCCTTGCCAGCCCCCTACCCCAGTTATCCCACCCTCAGTCCCCCTTCTGCTTGAGGCCAGCATGTCTCCAATGCCAATCCCCTTATAACTGGTTCTGCTTGCAGTTGGAGGGCAGTGGGCAGCCTCCCAGCCAGGCCCGCCCTGAGCTCCTTGTCCTATAACCAGGGATGGCATAAGAGCTGTTCTTCTCCTGCCTCTGGATTCACCCCAGCCTGGACCTATCCCAGTGACCTCCTGTACCAAAGCCAAAGACCCAGATCCCTCTAATGGCCCTGCCAGACCTCCTTATTCTACCCTGATTTACCCCCTACTGCTGCTGGGCAACCTGCTTCGCATCCTCCCACCTCGCAACCTCCACTCAGCCCTGCCTGTCCTCACCCGGTCCTCCTCTGTCAGCAGTGTCTGTGCATAGGGGCAAGCATGGGTAGACAGGATGGCCAATGGGTTTTATAATATAGCAGAGATCAGAGCTAGGTAGTGATTCTCCTTGAATTACCTTTGGAATTGGTATTTGAGGGGGAAAAAAAAGCCTCTGAGCTAAACTACAGGGAATAAGAACAAAACAACTAATACATATAATGTTTACTATGGGACAGACACTGTTCTAAGTGCTTTACATACTTAAAACAACCCTGTGAGGTCAGTATACTATAACTACCCCATCTTACTGAAGAGATCACTGAGGCACAGAGAGGGTGAGTAACTTGCCCTAGGTTACACAGCTAGTAATAAATGCAGGAGTCTGATTTTGAAGATGAATAATACTAGGCCTTATCCCTGAAGGCAGTCTACTAGAGGAACTGGGCAAATCAACCACAATTTCCCACAGTGAAGCTAGTGCTTTGGGAGGGGTGAGCATGGGGATCTTTGGGAAAACAAAAGCAGGCCACCCAACCCCACCTGGGGAGTGAAGAAACACTTCCCAGAGGAGGTGAGGCCCCACCTGATATCTGCGAAAAGAAGGTGAGAGAGGGTGAGTGTGGCTGTTTGGGAAGTGGTGGAAGTTTGTCATGCCTGGAGCACAGTGCAGAGGGTGCAGGTAGCAAGGGGGAGGGGGTCAGTGAGGTTAGAGGTGCAGGGAGAATCTGGATCATAGAGAGCCTTGGAAGCTGTGGTTAGGAGATTGAAGTCAGAACAACAGAGTGTCACAATAGGTCTTAAGCAGGAGAGTGACAAGATCACATGTACAAATTTAATGGCCTTATCTGGAGGACAGATCTTCCAGAAGTGAAGAATGGTGGAATCTAAGAAAATTGATGGCTTCTTTTTTTTTTTTTTTGTCTTTTTCGTGACCGGTAAGGGGATCGCAACCCCTTGGCTTGGTGTCGCCTGCACCGCGGTCACCCGCAGTGGGAGTGCTGCTGCACACCTAAGCGCCGCACTCTCCCAAGTGCGCCCCGGGGCCGGCCCAAATTGATGGCTTCTTTTTTTTTTTTTGTCTTTTTCATGACCGGTAAGGGGATCGCAACCCCTTGGCTTGGTGTCGCCTGCACCGCGGTCACCCGCAGTGGGAGTGCTGCTGCACACCCAAGCGCCGCACTCTCCCAAGTGCGCCACGGGGCCGGCCCAAATTGATGGCTTCTTGGATTTGATGAAATACAGCACATTAACTCATTTAATCCTTAACACAACCCTACGAGATAGGTATTATCATTATCTCCACTTTATAAAGGAGAAAACTGAGGCAAGTAAGTTAAGTAACAGGCCTAGGGCCATACAGCTAGTAAGTGCCAGAGCTCTGAGTACTGTATGTGGACTGAACTGGGAAAAACAAGTTCTAGAAAAACTATTATTTTTATTTTTTTGGCAGCTGGCCAGTACAGGGATTGAATCCTGGACCTTGGTGTTATTAGCACTGCACTCTAACCCCCTGAGCTAACTGGTCAGCACTTAGAAAAACTGTTTTAAACTGAAGAGAAGAAAAAGAAGATAAGGACGACCAGGACAATGGTTCAAGTGCAACAGCAAGAGAAAAAAAAAGAAGGGCCAGGCTGGGGAGAGGAGAGAAAGTGGAAAAGAAGCTAGTTGACTAGAAGCAGATGACCCGAGTGTCCATGGCCAGAGAAAGGGCAGGCCAAGCCCCTGCCGCGGACAAGGGGCAAGAAGGACTGAGTAGCTGAAAGAGATGACTCCTGAACAGCACATTTAACCAAAAGCCCAAGAGTGTAACCTCAAGCCCAGAAAGGAAATGGGTCTACTGATTCAGGAACCCAGGGGCTAGAGGCAAATATGGAAATGGACCACTAGCCAACTTCATCAAAAGGAAGGGGACCCCCAAGGCTGGGTTTCTGGACTTGAAGGACTGGGGCCAAGAGCAGCCTAGAAGGACCTCTTTAAGGCTTTAAATGCACATCCAGCTAATGGGAAATACGGGGCAGAAAGATGGTGCTTCCTCCCCATGTACTTCTCTCTAAGTTCCCCAGCTCTGCAGAAAGGACTCTGCATGCATCACCAGGCCTTGTGTGTACTGGACCACAGAGGTCAAGAGGTGGAAGGGTCATAGACCAGGGAAGAGGGCAAACTGGGAGAAGGTTGGAACCTTAGAGGGAGGAGAAAAATCCTTTTCGTTTGTTTTGGTGGTAGCAACAGGTATACAATCTAAGCCTGACACAGAAAAAACCTGGTTAGAGAAGCTTTCTCTATGACAAGGCTGTCTGTTATAGGGGTGGGCAGGGTGGCTTTTGTTACACCCCGTTCCACATTCCTGCACAGGCAGCTCGTGACTACCTTCCCTTTACAGGCTGTGCAACCCCAGTAGGGATATCTAGATCTGCCTGGCTCTCGAGGCTCCTATCTTTCCCATCAAAATGGGGGAAGGATAGAACAGGCAGCTCACCTAACATCCTGTAGTCATCCCGGGCTTTCCTGGCTCGGAAAAATGCCTGGATCTTCACAACAGAGTTAACCTGCCATTAACACAGATGGGAAAGGGGTTGCTAGCTGCCCTTGCTCCGGTCCCATGGGTAAAGGTTAGGTATGGGGGCAAGGGAAGCAGGGTGACACTCACATTCTTCTGGAAGTAGCGCAGACGCCTCTGGTATCGCCTCCGAGCTGCCCACATCCGGGCCAAGGCCTGAATCTGGGAGAGACACATTGCCTCAGAGCTGCAGGCTTGGGGCCCATCCTCAGATCCAGGCCAATTTAGCCAACTCCAAAGGCCACAAGGAAGTGAGAGGACTACAAAATTTTTCTCAGAGGGTCCTCCAAGGGTGATGAGAAACTGTCCAAACCACTATAACTACCTTGACTATGGCATCCAGGTTTGCTTTTAAATACTGCAACCGCTCCAGGTAAATCTTCCGCTGTCTATAACCCCGCCAGTGAGCCTGCACATCAGGAAAGAAAAAGAAGTAACCCTAGCAGGTCTCCTTTGGCTTGTGAAGTTTGCAGGAAAAGCCTTGTCCTGGACTCTCCAAGGATGGGAGGGTGATGTACAAGTAGAGGGGGAAAGGTAAGCTGGCCGTTCCTAAAGAACTTCCGACTTCACAGGAAGATCAAATGACTGCACATAGTTAACCATGCCCTCCACTACGCTCCCTGTTCCTAGTGTACACACACACACACGCACACACACACACACACACACACACATGATGCAAACATACACATCTACCTAACCAACACCTCCTCACGGAAACTCAACTGTGAGATACAGGCTTAAAAGATATTAATAAAACATACACCTACTCTCCAGCTTCACCAAAGCATGCACCATATCCCCCCAAAATACACTCATACACCCACATGTAGACCACACACACCCTATAACACACTCTGCTCTCCCTCAGTGTACAGAAAGTGGGTAGAGAGCAGTCTGGAGAGGCACACAGTTGTGTGATGGGATGTGTGTACAGGCACAGAGCCGTGTGCCCACCATCTCTGCCAAAGGTCACCTGCGCAGCAGGTCACTGATGCTCTCAAAACACACACTTCTCTTTACAACACCATCCAGCTCCTGGCCCCAGCTCTCAGCAAATTCTCCCACCAAAGTCCCCAGTAATTCAGCTGTCAGTCGAATAGCCTCTCCCGCTGGCTGGTCTGCTGCAAAGGGTCCAACTGACCATCTCCTCCATAAATCACACCTTCTTTGGTCTCTTAAAAAGCACAAATCTCATGGCTCCTTTCCATTTTGGCCTCCTTCCTACGTGCCTCTTCCCTTTTACCCCAAGCTTGTGTGAAATTAATTTTCCTAAAGCACCACTTGGACTATGTCTCTCCCAGCCCCAAAGTTTCCAGAAGTTCTTGACTGTCTGACCCCAAATTCCCCATCTGACTTACCTCTGGTCCCCTACCTTAAGGATTCTAGCCACATCATACATTTTACTTTCTTATAAACATGCCTAATGATTTTCTGCCCCGAACCTTTGTTTACGCCCGCCTTGTCCCCAGCCCTATCTCTACCCACTGAAATCCCTCCTGTCTTTTAGGGCCCATGAAAAATATCTCCCAGTGTGCAGGCCCTGGAGGATACTCTACTACTACATTGTTGAGGTCTGGTGAGATATAAGACCATCCCCTTTCACTCAGTTGTCCTCCCACTGCTTCCTAAAGCGAGTTCTCTTGGCTGGGCTTTCCCCTAAGGCTCACACTGGTCCTCTGTTGCAATAGGATGTAAAAGAGGAATCTTGGCCCATGACACTGGCTGTCCACATTGGATCCTAGAGGCCAGGAAGCCCCATTTCCATGCCTACCCTCAGCACTCCATGTACGACCTGACATACACTCTGAGTTGCAAAGGAAAAGGCAGAGCAGTCTGCTCTCGGCTCTTACTTCCTACCCAACCCCCATGAGGTTCGTTTCAAAAAGGCCTCCCAATCTGAATTGGTCAGAATTCAGGACCCTAGTTGGGGTTCAGGCCAGGGTCAGAGCTTTCTAGAGAGATAAAGTCTCAGGACACCCAGGAAGCCCCATTTCTGATTCACTCTTCCCCATAGCTGCAGGGTAAGTGGCCTATAGCCTTGGGCTATCTCTCTTTCTCTTGTCTCCCAGGACCCAGGCCAGAGCTCCAGTATTAGTGACAAAGGCTCCCTCTTACTCCATCTCCTCTCCCACTGTTAATGTGGCTTTTCATCTCCTTAGTGTGAAATTCCAGTCTGGGTTCAGGAGCGAGGAATCCCTATGATTCAAAACACTAAATGCAGATTTCTAAAGTTCTATACTGAGTTCTGGGACCAATGCCCTGAAAATAACTTCTCATAATGGCCATCACCAATGCAGCACTTACCACACTAAGTACTACATGTAATTTTCCTACAATCATCAAAATCCTCACAACCAACATATGAGGTGAGTACCATCATTATAAATGAGGAAACTGAATGCTAAAGGGGTCTTAAGGTGCCCAAAGTAACATGACCAGAAGTGGTAGGACCAGAAGGCAAACTCCGGCCTGACTCCAAAGCCTGAGCTCTCAGTTACTACCCCACATGCCCTAGGTCATAATCAAGGCCCATGTGCCAGTCTCTGTCTGCGCATCTCTCTCCCTTGGAGTACTCTGGTGTTGTCTTTGTGTCTCTACTATCAAAACATCTAATATCAACTGTACTCCAGTTCCTGCAAGGGGAGAGATGTGATCACTTACTGGTGGGTCTCACACCCATCTCCCACCCTTGCCTGGTGCCAAGTGGAATGCTTTGCAGATACTGGGCATTCAACGCTTTTTATTAAATAAAGTATCTTTATGCTGCTAACATCTCCATGAGGCCCTCCAGATCACACCTGCCTGGGGAGATCTTAGCTCAACTCCCATCACTCCTGGCTTACACAGTGCTCCTGGCTATCTTCCCAGCTGGCCTCATGTCCCAGTTACTTATGGGTCAGTCTCAGAGGCCACCCACTTGTGGACGTTTGGAAGAATAAAAATGGAAAAGGATGGTTGAAGAGGAAAGGTAGAAGATTCTTCTTTCTCTAAGGGATATTCTACCCCTTTTCTGTTTAAGCACCACCACCTCTTCACAACTCCTATTCTAGTTAGGAAATCTTCCTGGTGTCCAAACACTGGTGTCTTACTAAATCTTATTTCATTCTTCCCTTGGGGAAGCTAAAAAGCAACTCTCATAGTCTCTGAACAGTGATAATGATGATAGTAAGTAGCACTTATACCAAGTCCTTATCTACCTGCCAGACACTATTTATAATCACTTTAGATATTACCTCACTTAATCCTTGTAACAACCCTATAAGGTGGGTGCTATCATTATCCCTATTTTTCAGACGAGAAAACTGAGGGACAGATGAGGAAACTGAGGGGGAGAGAGAATAACTTGCTGAGGTCACACAGCTAGGATGTAGTAGAGCTGGGATTCAAATCTAGGCATTTTGGCTCTAGAATCCATTCCCTCAGCCACCACCATTCAGAGGCCAAAAGATCATCCCAACTTCACTCAGTAAAAAGGAAGTAAGGAGGACACCCTGAAGCCCAGAGAAGCCCAGGCACTGAAGACATAGAAAGCCAGAGACTGCCACCTGGATCTTGATGACTGCTGGGAGCCAGGTCCTCAGGAAGTGGGAACGTTCAGCAAACTTCTGCCGAATGAGGAAGCCACGGAGACGGGCCTGGAGCTGGACAACAAAGCCAACGTTGGCTTTCCAGAGTTGCTGGCGGTCATGGGCAGCAGTGACCTTGGTAATGGCTGACTGTGGAGGAAGGAGAGAGAACCTGTGACCCTTTGGTGGGTGAAGAAAGCTTCTTCTGCAGGGCATTTCCCATTCATGACCCCCTGGCTTTTCAGGGGCCCTGCCAACCTGGATCTCATCCCAAGTCAGGTGGGAGGTGTTGAGGCGGCAGCCAGGGGGTTGCTCCCAGGTTCCCTGGAAGGTCTGCAGATGGAAGTAGTAGACGGTACCATCCTTCATGTCATGTTGAACCCAGAAAGCTGTGTCCCCTAAGCAGAAACCAAGTAAGCAGAGAAGGTTCAGAAGAGGCAAGAGGTGGCTGGGGCAGGCAGCGAAGAGGAGAGGTAGGTGGGACTGTTACCTGGACGCCGCTTCTTTGCCACAGCACCTTCCAGAGCTCGCTGGTAGGCGGTGGCACAGTCGGGAACTACCCCTCGGAGGGCCACGGCGGGATTCCTCAATACCCGCTCTGTCTGGGCTGCCTTGCCCTCCTTGATGGCCTGATTGATGGCGGCCACACCAAGAGCCACTAATGGGCATCAGAGAAAGCAGTCAGTCCTTCCCCCTGAGTCCTTCTCATAGGCCCTGCCCTCTGCACTGGGGAGGGATTCAGAGAAGGACACAAAATCACCCTGTCTGATGAAGACATACATGAAAAGCAGCAGCATGCAGCTGTGCTTGGAGGAAAAGGGAGCAGACAAGGAAGGGTTCCTGAGGGAGGCAGTGTGAGGCAGGGCTGGGATAAGGCCTGGCAAAAGGAAAATCGGCTGGTACAGAAGCTTACAGACAGCAGATGGGCAAAGAATCTTGGGACAATTTCTTAGAAGAGAGTCCAAGAAGTGGGGGTGGTTGATGTACCACCTGCCTCCAGTCCTTCACAGACAGATGGACAGAAGGATGACAGATGGACAGAAGGACTCCAGATACTGAGACCTACGACCACTAGCACCCCACACCAGCACCAATATCTGTTTGCACTAATCCTGCCTATTTTCCTTTAACTCCTGCCATGCCCTCTTCTCCCACCCCAAGACAACATTCTCTAGCCAGAGCTGATTGACTGTTGCAACCCAAACTCAGCAGAAACAGGATGGATTTTTGGCCACCACATGATTTCACGTGCTCACATTGCAGGGAAAGTGCCCACAGGAAGGCATAGAAGGAGGCAGTAGGTGGACTATGGGCTCTTAACTCCTGAGAATTTCCTGCCCAGCTGACTGCCAGGAAATCCACCCTGTGGTCCACTACCCTCCCCTTCTGATTCTGGCCTGCCTCCCCAGAGGTCGAAGTGAAAAGTGACTGAGGAGGCCACCTGCGTATTTGGGCTGTTGCTGAGCCACCATCTCCTTCCCTCCTCTCCCAGTGTCCCCACCCAGCCCACTTACTTCTCTGAGCTGTGTTTGTGTCCTGGTTGGCTCTGATCACTCCCCGGCGGATCTCCTCCAACCACAGCACAGCTCCAGGATCTCCTGTCACCTGGCAAATCGAGAGAGATGGAAAAAGACGAGACCCTAGACTGGTCTCTCCAGGTTCCCAGGCCAAGCTGCCCAGGGAAACCAAACTGCAGGCTAATATTGGGAGCCACAGGACAGAAATCACCACTCCCCTATTCCTGCCCTGTGTCAGCATAGCTTGTGGCTCCTTGGGACTGCTGCCAGGCTCCGAAGTCTTTTTTTTCCTACACTGCTTTCAGGCTGTCCCAAGCTAAGGCTCAGCTTGGCCCCAGCACCCCCAGAACCCACAGCCACTCTACACAGCTTCTTAAACCCTCAGTATCCACCACCTTCTCAACAGCTCAATTCCTTGCCCTTGTGCCTCAGCCATGTCCAGGGGTAGCCCACACTGGAGGCTCTACCTACCCACCCCCACTCCATACCCCTATGCCTCAATTCACACCTTCTCAGGTCGATCCTGACACTGACCTTCTCCTTTGTATTCTTATTCCACACTCCTCAACCCGACAAAGTTGTGAGAAGATTATAGTACCTGAGACCACAGGTCAAGTAAGCCTGTGCCAGCCTCACTGTCAAGCTGAGAAAGGCTTGTTTCCTCCCTGCCTCACCCAACCCCAGACTCTATGCCCTCCCAGCTGTCCTCATTAATAATGGACTTTGTTAACTAACATTGTATTGAGCACTAACTATGTGCCAGACTCTGTCCTACAACACTTTCTTATGAATTAATACTTGTAAAGCACATGAAACAATGCTTGGCACAGAGTGAGAACTCGACAATGTTAGCTAGTACTACTGTCATATTATCTCCCCTAAACTGCATAACTATGAGATCAGCCCATTACTGTCACAAGTCTGTAGGTGAGGACATGAAGGCACAGATAGGTTTAGTAGTGTATGCAGGGTCAGACTGTCAGGATGCAAACTCAAGTGGCCTGACTCAGGAGCCCTGGCATTCAACCACTCTACTGCCACATGCTCAGGGTGTTTCAGGTTCAAAACATTTCCCCATTTGTCAACTTATTTGATTTTCACCCTCATTCTGAGAGATGGGTAGGACCAGGGTATGCAGTATTTTACAGATGAATAGAGCTCAGACATCCAGGGATTTGCCCAAGGACATGTGGTCACCAAGTGTCAGAGCAGGAAATCCAGCCCAGGTTCCCAGACCTGTGCTCTTCCCATGCTCTGTCTAGTGCCCTGGCAATGGAGGCCATTGTCACCATCAGATCAGAACCCTGCCTATCCCCCATCCCTGGAAGCGACATGTCCATCAGATGGGAGCTCTGCCAGGGTGCACACTGGGCACAGCTCTACGCACAGGGGATGTTCTTCCTGCTCTGGTGACCAACCCAGCCAGCCCTAACCTCACCTGTGCCTTCTGCCTTTTGGCTGCCACAAGGAGGAGATGGTACCGAGGGGCAACAGGGAGGCTGACATCATTCAGGCCAGCTGCGGGAAGCAGCAGGGCAGATAGAGTCTTCTCAGGGCTGTCCTGATCCAGAGCCTCATTGATGAGGCTGACCGCAAGAACCTCTGAGAAAGAAAGATCTAGGTGGGCAGGGGGCCCTGCCCCCAAACTTCTGGCTTAGGGATGGGGCTGCCTGAGTGGAGCCATCTTCTCCCAGCCCTTGACTGCACTCACGGTTGGTCTCTTCCTGGATCTGGGCGTTGACCTGGCTCACGGTGGCCTGCAGGTCATTCCAGCTCAGGAAGGCCCTGTCCATTCCATGCACCTGTTGCAGCTTCACCAGGGCATCAAAGTAACTGGCAGTAGGGAGAGGGAGAGCGAGGTGAGCAGCGTGTGCATCATCAGCCAGAAGTCAGGGGAAACATGTGAACTGTTGTCTTCACTTGGCCTCCAGGACACCACGCTCCCTTGGTTCTTTCCTCACCTCACAGGTTATTCTCTCTGAGCTTCCTCTGCTGGTTCCTCCCTGACCTCTAAAGATTGGAGCATCCCAATCTTCAGTCTTCAGGCCTCTTCTCTTTCCACATTCTTTTTTTTTTTTTTTGGCAGCTGGCTGGTACGGTGATCTGAACCCATGACTTTGGTGTTATAAGGCTGTGCTCTAACCAACTGAGCTGACTGGCCAGCCCTCTCTGTATTCATATCCTAAGTGATCTCACCTAATCTCTTGGCTTTAAACATGGTATGTTAACGATTCCCAAAAGTACATGTCAAGCCCATTCATATATCCCAGCTGTCTCCTCAGGATCTCCACGTGAATATCTAATCAGCATTTCAAATCCAACAGCTCAACTCTGAATTCGATTCCCCTGCTCAACCTGCATGTCCCATGGTCTCTCCCATTTTGTCAAGAGTCTTAGAGTCATACCTAGCTCCATTCTCTCACACCCCATATCTACTATGTAACCAAATCCTGTCTGTTCAGTTTTCAGAATATATCCAAAATCTGACTCCTTTTCACCCTGCACTGCTACCACCCTAGGTGAAGGCCCCTCATCTCTGCCTAGATTATTCCAATAGCCATCTAACAGGTCCCTCTGCTTCTAACCCTGAACAGCCGCCAGAGTGATCCTGTTAAACTAGGTCAGATCATCTCCCTCCTTGTTCAAAACCCTCCTGTAGGGGCCGGCCCGTGGCTCACTCGGTAGAGTGCGGTGCTGATAACACCAAGGCCCCGGGTTCGGATCCCATATAGGGATGGCCGGTTCGCTCACTGGCTGAGCGTGGTGCTGACAACACCAAGTCAAGGGTTAAGATCCCCTTACCGGTCATTTTTAAAAAAAAAAAAAAAAAAAAACCCTCCTGTAGCTTCCTTCCTCAATCAGAGCAAAAGACACAGGCCTACATGGTCTGGCCTCTGCTACTCCCTCTTCATCTCACACTCCTCTCCCTTCCTTATTCCATTCTGCCACACAGGCCTCCTGATGTTCTTTGAACTCACCAAGAACACTTCTTTCTCAGGGCCTCCACTCCAGATAGCCTCATGGCAATCACTTATACCATTTAGGTCTCTCTCAAAATGACCACCTTACCAAAGAGGGCTTCCATAACCACACTATATAAACAGAAAACCGCCCCTACGATGTTCCATCATTATCCTCTTTGCCCTGTTTTACTTTTCTCCATAGCTCTTCTTCTCTTCTAATCATGTCTCCCTCTACTAGCAGACAGGTTTGATGACAGCAGGAACTTTGTTTTGTTCACTGCTGCCTTCAGCACCTAGAATAGTATTTGGTACATGGGTGGGTACTCAAATATTTGGTGTGAAATAATGAATGAATGAAAAAACACAGGAAGAAACACAGGCTAAGAACTGTGAGCAGACCCAGAGGGTGGATCTGGGCCCAAGAACAGGGCATCATGAAGAAGGCTAGCCTCCAAGCACAAGAACTCTGAGTTGTGGCTATATTCCCTCCATTCCTACTCTCCCAACATGCAGCTAAACCTTTCTCACCGCTGAGCATTTTCTTCTTCCACGTTGGCCAGGCCTGTGGCAGGGTTCACCAGAGTGCTCCAGAAGCCACTGGCATCCCTGGTCTCCAGGGCCTGGTTAATCAGGACCACGGCTGACAGCATCTCCACAGCCACGAAGAGCTCCTCCTGGCCAAGCTCCTACAACAGGGGGAGGGCCGATTCCCACGTGGGCTGGTGAAAGGCCTGAGGGCCTACCCATAGTCCTGACCCCAAGCTTCTGGTATGTCCCAGGGTCCCCATCTCAAAACCTCAGTGGCCTGATTCATTCACTAACAATTAATCATACTTAACATTTGAGAATACCTACTATGTGCTCAATTATAAGTACGTCACTCATATTATCACTTAATTTTCATAACAAGCCAATGAGGTAGGTACCATTAATATCCCCATTCACAGATGAGCCCATAGCCAATAATGTGAGTTAAACCTAGCTGCCTGATTCCAGAACCTACACTTAACCAGTGAGCTCTACCAGCTCCCTTCTGGTCCCTACTACACACCAAGAACTGCACTAGGCCCTGGGCATGCAGAGATGAAGATGAAGTGGTCATCGCCACACTGCACTGCACACCCAAGAGGCCCTGGCCCTGTTTCCCTGCCCAGTTCTCCTCCTTCTTTTCAAACATCTGCTTATGCTGTTCCCTCTGTCTGGAGCATCCTTTCTGTCTTCTACAAACAGAATGTTGTGAATAATAACAGTAACAACAACAGCAGCAACAATAGCTAAAACTTACTTACCAGACTCTTCCCTAAGCAATTCTTAACTCATCTAATCCTTACAACAATCCTATGAGGTAAATATATTATTGTTCCCATCTTGTATACGAAGAAATTGAAGGGCAGAGAAGGTAAGTAACTTGCCCTATGTTACATAGCTAAGAACCAGCAGAGCCAGATTTGAACTCAGGCAGTCTGGCTCTAAAGTCCACAAGCTTAGTCACTATGCTTTACTCTTAGTACTTATTTTATGCTTCCTTGTACTGCAGTTATTCATGTATAGAGGCTGTGCCTTTCCTCAGGGTCATGCCTGTGTCTGGGTCATGCCTGGTGCTCTATAAATGCCTGCTGTGGGTACAATTTTCTATTGATTCTCTCCTCTTCCAAGAAGCCTTCCCAGACTTACCCCTAGCTCTGCTTCCTGCATATCCCTGGTCTGAAGTCTTCTTCCACTTACATCATCTACTTTTCTCTTCCTGTGCCTCTGTCTGGACTCTCAGGTATATTCTAACTCTTCCAACAGACTAGGAAGTCCCTAAGTGAGGGCTCTATCACCTTGCTGTCAGAAAAACTGTATGGACTGGAGTGAGGTGGGGCAGAGGAGTGGTTAAAAGCATGGGCTTCAAATACATTCAGCTTTGCATTCACTCCCAGCACTGCCAATCGCAGCTATGTTGGGCAAGTTACTTAACCTATGCATCTTGGTTTTCTCATTTCTAAAACAGAAATAATACGACTTGCCTTACAGGGTTATTTTAAGGATTAAATGAGTGTGTAAAGCAGTGTTTGCTCAAGGGTACTGGCTATTATAATATACTCAGGAAGGCAAGGATGGTGGCCCTTGCCCCCTGCCCTAACATCTTGCCTGCATCTCAGATTGCCCTTAGAGCATGCTCTGGACTGACTGCCCTGATCCCTCCATCTGCTTGGGAACCTGAGCTGGACCCCACATTTCTGGGGCTTACCCGCTGCTGCTGCTGCCAGAGCACTGCCAGCTCCTGCTGGTACACATGTGAGGCAAAGGTGTACACGGGAGGCAGCTGGGCTTCAGGGCACATCAGCTCCTTCACAGTGTCAGCTGCCACTCCCTTCTGGATGGCTTTGTTGATCCGCCGCACAGCCTGGAGCACTGTAGGGGAGGAGAGTAAGAGGGGCACAGGCTGGGCATTCTTTGCCATCTCTCCTCTCATGGCCAGCTAGGCTCTGTGGGAATCTCTGAGGGGAAACGGCATTGTGACTGCCTTGAAAACCACTCTGCTAGGTTCAAAATACATTTCTTTTTTTGTTGTTGTTGGGTTTTTTTGTTTGTTTTTGACCGGTAAGGGGATTGCAACCCTTGGCACGGTGTGGTCTGCACCACGCTCAGCCAGTGAGTGCACTGGCCATCCCTATATAGGATCCGAACCTGTGGCCTCGTCGCTACCAGCGCCGCACTCTCTGGAGTGAGCCACAGGGCCAGCCCCAAGATACGTTTCTAAATGTTCATGAGGAAAAGGGGCTGGGTTTTGCTTTTTTTTTTTTTTTTTTTTTTTTTTTTTTTTTTTTTTTTTTTTTTGTT